ATGGGGAGCTGAGACAGGGGTCCCCCACCTCTCCAAAGTGAACTGGGTTCCATGGGCCCCCACCCAAAGTGACTCCCGTCACAATATGCATTTATTATTTTTTCAGCAAACGTGAACTTAGCCTTTAATGCAAATGCTGGCTCTGCTTCTTGATTAGTAATGTTGCTCAGTAATCGGGCCTTGCTGTTCCTCTCTCTCAATACAAGACTACCAGTCAGGTCTGACTTAATGAAGACAGTGAACTGACAATTTACTTCAGCATTAGTGAGGGACTTTGCTAAAATAATAATATCTGCTAGTTGGAGAATTGACCAACTTTGTAGGAAATACAAGTGGAAGAAAAATGTCCTCATCAAATGAGATGGTTGCTAGAACGGTCATGCGGTATGTCACCTTGACACACGTCCACCACCAACAAACGATTCACCTTATGCCTGCAAAGAACTAAAGCACTGTAGAAATTTAGCAATCCTTTGGATCAATATCCTGGGCTAGCCACGGCTGCCAATAAATGCCACTTAAACACTACTCAAGGTTTCTTACAAATGGCCGTTGCTATGGTTATGGAGGTGGAAATAAAAAATATGTTGAAGGATGAAGGTATTAAAACGTTGAGACGATGTAATTTGCTGTTATATTAAATGTTGTAATCTCAAGGAAAGCAATACTTTCTATTCTCTGCTGGACAAGGGACTGACATTGAGCCTGAAAGGCCCTTTGTGGCATGTCATATGGGGTAATAAAAGGAACCTGATGTTAACAGAGGCACGAACGCAAGATGGCAGCTGCTGTACAGCAATCCAATTCAATTTCCCGGGAGAGCCATATCAAGGCACAAGGCCCATACCACAGATGGGACAATCTCAGAAATCGCACGTAGCAAGGCAAAAACCCATGCTGGGATTCTCAGATCTTGAAGCTAAACTCCAGGCAGATATAAAACACACAAATGACTGCTGTCATTTTTAGCCTCTAAATGCCTTGTAATTATGTGAGAAAAAGTAATTTTTTTTTTTATTAAACCAAAAGGATACCCAGACTTCAAAATGTGACACTAAACTCAGTTTTAAGAAAAGAAAATTAAATTCCAGTATGTATTCTTATTTTAAAAAAAAGTCCATTCTATTGCTCTCAGCCTCCTCCAAATCTTCACTTTTTTTTTTGTAGCCATGACTTGACTTCCTGTTAGAGGGTGGCTACATTCATTCTCCATGACCCCACAACAGGGGCAGACTGACCATTTGGAAACTCGGGCACTGCCCGAGGGCCCGGGGTCAGTAGGGAGCCCCATAAGATGCCCCTGGTACCTTTTTCATAGGCTTTTTTGAGTTTGAGCAAGGACACAGGGGCCCCATGATCCCCTATTGCCCAGGGGCCCCATGAGTTGTCAGTCCCCCCCTGCCCCATGGTATGTAGGAATGTAGTCACCCTCTCCTGCTTGCTCCCGAGACTATGGAATTATGTGCATAGAGGAGTGTACAGGACCACAACTAATGTGCACCACTTATTCTACGGGGGAAAAGGAGAGGAGCAGATGCCTGCAAAGGGGTATTAAAAAGAGGCAGAAAAACACAGCAAGAAACTATTTAATGAAAAATAAAATTACAGGGTCATTAAAGTGGTAATAAAGTTACATTTTTAAAAAATCATTGACGGCAGGGTCTTTAAAAAACAAAAGTCTGTCATAAATGGCTCTTCTGGCTTGTAACATAATCTGAGCCTCGCATGCACAGCGCAGACCACATTTATAGTATCCTAGCTAAGCTGTGATGATGTGACTCCTGTGCGCATGCACCAAAGTGACATCACTGCAGCCTGACCACTCAAGTGGCCAAAGAGATGGAACCCAGACAGAAGACTGGTCAAAGATGGAGGAGCCTGGGACCAGCAGAACCAGGGTCAGCATGGTGCTGGAGGGTTCCGTTTGACAGGTAAGTGCCATAATGTGCCAGTGTGCATATTAGTACATTAGGCCATGAACCTGCAGGGGGCTCATTTTAAATACAATTCTTTGCAGTTTATTACTGCTTTAGATAGTGGAGGTATATGGATTATTTTTACAGAACACAGATCTTTCAAAGGATAAGTTCACTTGCAGGTAAAAATAAAAAATGTGAATTTACTAAATGTTTTTTTTTTTTTTTTTTTTGAAGTCTGGAAAGAATTACTCCAGCGATCGGCAGGTCACTGGTGCAATGCAAACTGTCAGAGTGTCTGTGTGCCCGTACATCCCGGACAAGCAGATAAAGACTCAATGAACTACTACAGCACTCAACATCACCATGGACGTTCATTGAGAACTACAAGCCGACAGTCGATGTAAATGAATGACGTGGCCGTGTGGGCAGAGCCCCGCACGGCTGTGTGGTTTTCAAAAAGTGACAGCTAGCACAGGGAACTTCTCCCCATACTGCTGTCACAGGGAGAGGGGCGGTCGGGCAGCAGCTGCAGTGGTGGGAACAAACAATGGGTGGAACATGTAACATGTTACCAAAGGTGAACTTATGCATTAAGGTATTGGCACACAAAAAGGTTAAAAAAACAAACAAAAAAAAAAAAAAGAACCATTTACAGTCCACTAAGAAAACTATCACTTTAAAAAAACCCTTTAAAAGGAAAAAGGGCCTCTCCACAATGTTTAAGGGGGATGCTGTCAACTGGACACTATGAACCATGTATTGTGCCAATGCCCTAAAATGCTGACCATTAAGGATAGGCACTTTTGGGGAGCGGGTACCCAAATTTGACAGGTACCCGCTCCCACTTCCATCATCTAGGCCAGGGGTAGGCAACCTGCGGATCTCTAGCTGTTGTGGAACTACATTTCCCATGAGGCATTGCGACATTACAAAACTGACAGTTACAGCTATGACTTGCAGAAGCATGATGGAACTTGTAGTCCTGCAACAGCTGGAAAGCCGCAGGTTGCCTACCCCTGGCCTAGGCGATCAGAAGAGGAAGATGTCCTCCCCCACTCCCTCCCTGTAGTCTTCTGGGACACGTGACAGGTCCCAGAAGACCACGGGCCATTCACAAAGCACAGCGCTTCTCGCGCATGCGCAGTGGGCACCCGGCTGTGGAGCTGGGGAGAGAAGACGGCCGGTGAAATAAGCGGTGATGGGGACACCGCAGGACCGAGGGACAGGCAAGTAGTGTTTTTGTAGCTGCTGACTTTTATTTATTTATTTTTAGGTGGAACTCCGCTTTAACAAAAATGGTGGCCTCCAGCAATAAGAAACAGGAGCAATGCTGGAGGCAATTTACAGCACACACCCATTTAGGTTGCATAATTACTAATGTTGAGTTGTATGTCTTTTTATTACAGAACATTAACCACTTCCCGACCACCCTATAGAAGAAGTACTGCTACAGAGCGGCAGGGATGCGCAAAATCACGTACATATACACACACGATGTTCTAATTCCGGGTAGGGGGCGCATCCGTGCGCTTCCTGCCTGCACTACTATTAGCTCCTCGGCATGTCAAGCACTGGGTCCCGGCTGCCGATTCTCAGCCGGGACTTCGTGATCGGCGGTGGAGCTGACGGGAGAGGTCTGTATGGTAACAATACAGATCGCTCTCCTGTCAACACGAACAGGCTGCTTTGTATTGCTCTGCACAGCAGAGGAATACAAAGCTGCTTGTCTACACAGTAAAACACACACAGCACATAGTTAACCCTTTGTTCGCCCCCGACGTTAACCCCTTCCTGCCCAGTGTTATTAGTACAGTGTCATTTAGTTCCCCCCCCCCCCCAGTGTCAGAATGCCCGCCGCAGTCCCGCTATAAGTCGCTGATCGCCGCCACTACTAGTAACAAAAAAAAAAAATTCCAGTATATATACCGCCATTTGTAGACGCTATAACTTTTCATGGAAACTAATTTACACGTATTGGGATTTTTTTTTGCAGCAAAGACATAGCAGAATACAGTTGTACCTAACGTTATGAAGAAATTTTCTAAAAAAAATTTTATTGGACATTTTTAATAGCAAAAAGTCAAAGTTTATTTTCAGATTTGTCGGTCTTTATATCGCAAAAAATTTAAAAAAACCCAGAGGTGACCAAATACCACCGAAAGAAAGCTCAATTTGTGGGGGGAAAAAAAAAAAAAAGGACATAAATTTAATTTGGGTGCAGCGTTGCATGACCGCACAATTGTCAGTTTAAAGTAACACAGCGCCGTATCGCAAAAAATGGCCTGGTCAGGAAGATGCGGTTAGCTGGAAGAATTGCAGCAATGAAAACCTGCAGTCTGCGGCATCTTTAGATTTTGAAAAAACAAACTGAACTGGATTATGATTGACAAACTTACCTCTGCAATACAACAAATCCCAACTAAATTTAACAAAATGTGGGAACAGAGGGGTGGATAAAAGGCAAATAGACTCCACACTTTGCAAATGTAGTGGCACTCTGCAAGAACAGTTGCTCCAGAGCTTAGTAAATAAGGGGAAGCTCGGCTGACTTCCATCATCCAATCATGTGCAAGCAAACATGCTTTTTTCTTTTTTATTCCCCTTCCATGTGTTTGGTTATTTTGTGCAAAGTGAATCTTTACCTCATTTACGAAGGCAGCCTTTCTCAACCAGGGTGCCTTGAGGTTTCTTCAGGGGTGCATTGGCAAAATGTCTAAGAACTGTCCGTAACTTGTATAAAAGCCAGTGGCTGCCTTTTAGTTACACAAAGCCACAGGTGTTCATTGTGCACCATCAGGACCTTCTAGCCGCCACCGTCCTTACAACCAAAGACATCATCAGTTGATAAGAAGGATGTCAACTGCCTGCACAGCATCCTAGTTTGACCCTCCCCTGCCCCTCTCCATCAGTGCTGGGGTCACATCAGCTCAGTGATGGGGGAAAAAAACTGAGGGAGAAGAGAAACATAGGAATACTAGTGAGTACCACGGTGCAAAAGTGTATTTGCTTTGGAAGGATAAATAACTTCTAATGTTGGGTTTCCGACATGTGTGGATGTTGCTGCGTTATATAGTTTTTCACATTTTAGAATGGGGTGCCTCCGGATTGTCCATAATTTTAAAGGGTGCCTCGGGACTGTCCATAATTTTAAAAGGTGCCTCGGGACTGTCCATAATTTTAAAAGGTGCCTCGGGACTGTCCATAATTTTAAAGGGTGCCTCGGGACTGTCCATAATTTTAAAGGGTGCCTCAAGGCTGTCCATAATTATAAAGGGTGCCTCAAGGCTGTCCATAATTATAAAGGGTGCCTCGGGACTGTCCATAATTATAAAGGGTGCCTCGGGGCTGTCCATAATTTTAAAGGGTTCCTCAAGGCTGTCCATAATTTTAAAGGGTGCCTCGGGACTGTCCATAATTTTAAAGGGTGCCTCGGGACTGTGCATAATTTGAAAGGGTGCCTCAAGGCTGTCCATAATTTGAAAGTGTGCCTCAAGACTGTCCATAATTATAAAGGGTGCCTCGGGACTGTCCATAATTTTAAAGGGTGCCTCTTGACTGTCCATAATTATAAAGGGTGCCTCGGGACTGTCCATAATTATAAAGGGTGCCTCGGGGCTGTCCATAATTATAAAGGGTGCCTCGGGGCTGTCCATAATTTTAAAGGGTGCCTCAAGGCTGTCCATAATTTTAAAGGGTGCCTCAAGGCTGTCCATAATTTTAAAGGGTGCCTCAAGGCTGTCCATAATTTTAAAGGGTGCCTCGGGACTGTCCATAATTTTAAAGGGTGCCACAAGGCTGTCCATAATTTTAAAGGGTGCCTCGGGACTGTCCATAATTATAAAGGGTGCCTCGGGACTGTCCATAATTTTAAAGGGTGCCTCGGGACTGTGCATAATTTGAAAGGGTGCCTCAAGGCTGTCCATAATTTGAAAGTGTGCCTCAAGACTGTCCATAATTATAAAGGGTGCCTCGGGACTGTCCATAATTTTAAAGGGTGCCTCTTGACTGTCCATAATTATAAAGGGTGCCTCGGGACTGTCCATAATTTTAAAGGGTGCCTCAAGGCTGTCCATAATTTTAAAGGGTGCCTCGGGACTGTCCATAATTATAAAGGGTGCCTCGACTGAAAAGAGGTTGAGGAACACTGTACTAAGGTCTGGACCAACTGCACTTACAAAGTGCACAGTCCATTTTCCTTTAGTACATCAACCCTAGTGTAATTACTATTATTCATTGGACCTTTGAGGACTAACCCCTTCCTTTCCTCCTCCCTTTGAGTTTACCCCAGTCAAAATCTAGAAGGGAATCAGCCTTCCCATCTTGAATTCCTATCTTTCTCCATACTTCCTTAGTAACAAGTTGGAATGGTAGGTTTATCCAGGATTTGGAAACACCGTCTACTTGATGACGATGTTTTATGATAGCACATTAATTGTTGATTTTGGGATTCTATGCAGATGTTAAGAAACATTTCTAAGAAACAGTAACAGCACTGAGAGGAGCATATTTGACTTTTCAATCATGTATTTGGGTGTATGTTGACATACTGTATCTATTACATATGATTGCAACACCTCATCATAAAGTCCCTATTAACAAGATTAGGGTCTGTTCATACTATGTGCAGTGATCTGCACCTGATCTGCAATCAACTCTAGTCACCACAAGGGCACACAGAAAACAATTGCCTTGTTCACCTTGTACACCCACTGAAGGCACTGTCTGTTTTCATAGGAAAGAATGTAATGTCACTTTGACATTTCAATAAAGATTTTTTTTTTTTTAAATAGTAAACTATGCCTTGCCATGTAAACCCCCCCCCCCTATCCCCACCGTCCGCACAGGTCATAAGTGAAGGTTTTCCATTATTTTTTTATCAAAGTAAACATCTTTATCATTTTTTTATTCCAAGAAAATCAATTCAGCATTCCGACAGTTTTCATTCCCCGAGTTTGATTTGAGGCATTCCTATACACCGGTACCAGAGGATTTCGGCAAACTGCTTGAAGGATGAAACCTCTGAGTGTGAAGCTAAATAACTAAGTAGAAGATTTGGGGAAAGAGGCCGTAGGGATAAAGATCTTAGCAAGACTGACAAGAAAACTAAAACAAGCGAGACAGGCTTGGAGCAATTACTTAGAGTACAGTACGAGAGCGCGAAAACTACTCGATTCATTACAAGGTACGCTCAGGAATCTACTGAGATTAGATTTTAATGTTTTTAACCACTTCCAGTCCGGACACTTCCCCCCCTTCCAGTCCGGACACTTTCCCCCCCCTTCCAGTCCGGACACTTTTCACCCCCTTCCAGTCCGGACACTTTCACCCCCTTCCAGTCCGGACACTTTCACCCCCTTCCAGTCCGGACGCTTCCCCCCCTTCCAGTCCGGACGCTTTTCCCCCCTTCCAGTCCGGACACTTTCACCCCCTTCCAGTCCGGACACTTTCACCCCCTTCCAGTCCGGACACTTTCACACCCCCTTCCAGTCCGGACACTTCCCCCCCTTCCAGTCCGGACACTTTCCCCCCCCCCTTCCAGTCCGGACACTTTCCCCCCCCTTCCAGTCCGGACACTTTCCCCTCCCTTCCAGTCCGGACACTTTCCCCCTCCCTTCCAGTCCGGACACTTTCCCCTCCCTTCCAGTCCGGACACTTTCCCCTCCCTTCCAGTCCGGACACTTTCCCCTCCCTTCCAGTCCGGACACTTTCCCCTCCCTTCCAGTCCGGACACTTTCCCCCCCTTCCAGTCCGGACACTTTCCCCCCCCTTCCAGTCCGGACACTTTCCCCCCCCTTCCAGTCCGGACACTTTCCCCCCCCTTCCAGTCCGGACACTTTCCCCCCCCTTCCAGTCCGGACACTTTCCCCTCCCTTCCAGTCCGGACACTTTCCCCCCCTTCCAGTCCGGACACTTTCCCCCCCCCCCCTTCCAGTCCAGGCCAATTTTCAGCTTTCAGCGGTATCACACTTTGAATGACAATTGCGCGGTCATGCAACACTGTACCCATATGAATTTTTTTTGCATTTTTTTGAGACAGATAAAGCTTTATTTTGGTGGTATTTAGTCACCGCTGGGATTTTTATTTTGTTTGCTATGTAAATGAAAAAGTCCAAACATTTTGAAAAAAAGTGTTTTTGCAAATAAATAGTATTTCATCATAAATCTTGGCCAAAATTTATTCCGTTCTATTTTTAGTAAAAAAAAAAAAAAAAAAAATAACCTAAATTAGTTTATAACCAAAAATTATAATTTTTAAACATTTTTTTATATTATTTTTTTACATACTGTGGTGACACTGTACAACTTGTGGGGGTGATGAATATATATATTTTTTTACACTGATTGCTTTTACACCCATAAAGGATATAGAAGCAATCATTTCTCCTTCTCTCTGGCTGCATTCTTGCAGCCATTGAGAACTACTGATTGAGCTGTGATTGGTCACAGCTTGTGACATGGTACAAGGCTGTTGTGAATAGCCCTGTACCATGTGACCTCTGTGAGCATTCAGATTTCACACGTAGTAAGCAATGATGTCACAAGTGACATCTTGCTTACTACTCTGCATGTGATCACTGATTGGCCAATCAGCGATCACATGATCGGGACCTCACACGGAGGTCCCGTCCGACGATTGGTGTTCCACTGTGTCCGGAGGACAGAGCGGGCACCGGATCGTGGTGCTGGGCGCTCCCAGGGAGCGCGCACAAGCAGGGTGCGGGGAGGCCGTTTATAAACGGCCACCCAACCCTGCACTGCCACCGTCCAGCCGTTTATATACAACGTCCGGACGGGAAGTGGTTAAGGTGGACTTTTTCTTAAAACTTTATTATTGCACAGGTTTTATATAGTGCCAAACAGTTTGCACATCGTTTACAATCTAATAATACCCAGTATTTTGTGAAATTGCTAACAAAGACTTGTGTATATTTGTAAACGTTTTGTTGTCGGTACCTCCATTTTTTTTTGTGTGTCCTGTATAAATAAATGTAACTCTGTATTTATTATTAAATCATTAAATGTATTTGTTTTAATAGCAGGCAGTGTATGTAGAGCATCTACATTTTACCTCTTATTAGCTTCCTGCAGTCCCAGTACAGCAGAGCTCAGACTAGGGGAGGGGAGAAGCAGCACAAGTAACCAACCAGTTGTGCAAGAAGCATGCTTATAGGAGGAGAGAGCACAGTGACAGAGAGGTGAGCACATCAGTCTGCTGCTTCTCCTTTCACTGTCCAGTCACAGTTAGGGGGAGGGACAAGACCTGCAAGTGCTAATTAACTGCAGCAGACAAATCTGAATCTCAGGGGGGGGGGGGGGGGGGCGGTTGTAATAACTCATGGAGCAATTACCTTTGAATGATCGGCTCTGGATGTAGACAATCCTCGTTTAGCTCCAATCATTTGCAGGTAATCGCTCCATGAGCGATTACATGTGAGGGGCCATGAATATCTGCAGGAGCTGTATACCGCCCATTGGTTTTCCTTGGAGCTGCTGCCAGGAACCTTGCTGTGTCTTCCACATGTAATAGTTTACAGCCCTGTGCACAGGTGTGAATGGGTCCATATATAGTAAAAATTGAAGAACCCAATGGTTAATAAATACTAAATCGTAAGAAAGCTACCTTTCTACAAAAAAAAAAAAAAAAAAAAAAAAAGCTATAAAACTGATTTAGGTACAATATTGCATGTCTGCGTAATTGTCAAAACTATAACAGTATGTCCCCCTACTGCCACCAAACAGTCCTGACCCAATGAGGCATTGACACTAGACCTTTGAAGGTATGCTGTGGTATGTGGCACCAAACAGTCCTGACCCAACAAGGCATTGACTCCACTAGACCTTTGAAGGTATGCTGTGGTATGTGGCACCAAACAGTCCTGACCCAACAAGGCATTGACTCCACTAGACCTTTGAAGGTATGCTGTGGTATGTGGCAACAAGCCTTCAATAGCAGACCACTGCCTCAACCAGCTTGCCTTCTTTTCATAATGCATCCTAGTGCCATCTCTTCCTTTGGTATGTAACGCACACAAACCTGGCAAACCCACATGATGTGAAAGAAAACGTGATTCATCAGACCAGGCCGCCTTCTACCATTGCTCCGTGGTCCAGTTCTGATGCTCATGTACCCACTGAAGGTACCTTTGGCCATGGACATGGGTCAGAATGACTGGTCTCAGTATGCAGCCCCATACACAACAAACTACGATGCACTGTGTGTTCTTACATCTATCACAACTAGTGACTCCTCTATTGGATCAGGCTACACAAGCCATCCTTCTCTCCCCATGTAAATCAATGAGCCTTGGCCGTCCATGACCCTGTTGCCGGTTCTCCTTCCTTGGATAACTTTTGATCGGTCCTCACCACTGCATATTGGGAACATCCCACAAGAGCTGCACTTTTGGACTTGCTCTGACCAAGTAGTCCGGCCATTACAATTTGGTCCTTGTCAAAGTCGCTCAAAAACGTACGCTTGCTCATTTTTTTCTGCTTTCAACACATCAACTTCAGGGACAACATGATCACTTGCTGTCCAATACATACTACCCACTTTCAGATGCCATTGTAATGAGATTATTATACAGGAGTTATATAGCGCCAACAGTTTACACAGCGCTTTACAAGGACAGACAGTACAATTACTGCCTCCCTCCCCCCCCTCTGTTGGGGTCCCCCAAGGCTCTGTCCTTGGACCCCTTCTCTTCTCCATCTACACCTCCTCCCTGGGCACACTCATACACTCCCATGGCTTCAATTATCACCTCTATGC